ACATTGTTTATCAGTCTGACCTTCTGTGAATTATTACCAGCCCCATGTTTATAGCCTATTGGCTACCTCAATTAATATAATAACATAATTATTTTCTTTTTATGTACTTTGGGATGATGGCTTCACCCAAGATTGAAAAGAAATACAAAATGATAAAATGTAAGATTGAGCTATAGATCAAATCAGAGGCTTGGGGTTAGTTTTTTAGGCAGGTTACTAATTTGCATGTAAACATCCACTGCTTTCACTTCCTGGGGTCATCTCAGTAGGGAGAGCCAGTTGATGGATGGGACACCCTGTGACAGAGTGCTTTCTGTCAGAGGTCAGGGCGAAAGCACTGAGCAAGGGATCCAGATGCACGGCTGCAGTGCTGGCCCCGGCAGCATGCTCCCCGCCCATCCTTTCCTGATCTGGAGTGCCCCCTCCACACCTTCCCGACTGCGCAAGTGCTGGCAGGGCCCTGGATCCAGGAAGATCTATGTGGTCTTCCCAGCAAGACAAGACAGTGCTTTGCCTGTCCCCTCACTCTCTCCTGGTGTCCAGCTGCTGACAGCTGATATGATCACAGTTCTGAAGAGACTGAGCATACTCTGCCCTCTTCCCACTAAATACCTGCATGAAGGCAGATTTTATTCACACACTTCAGTGAGCAACAACAGCAACAACAAAAAAAAGCACATGCAGCCAGGCATGGTGGCCCATGGCTGTGATCGCAGTGCTCAGAGAGGCTGAGGCAGGAAAAGTGCCACTCTAAGCCCGGCCTGTACAGTTTAACAGGACTTTGTCACAAAATGAAAAATTGAAGGCCTTGGAGATGTATCTCAGTGTGAAGGCTCTGTGTTTAGTTCCAGCATCACGTGCAGACCCGTGCAGCATATGAAAGCGTGTTGGTCCCTGCCCTGAGCCAGGCTGAAGCAGGAGATTCGCACATGCCAGTCCTGCCTCAGCAACTCTGGGAGACCCTGTCTCAATATTTTTTTTTAAAGAAACAGTCTGGGTATGTATTGAGTGGTATAGTCCCTCTAGTCCCATAGTAACTGCAAAGATAGACAGACAGACAGACAAAATAGTAGCACAAATACATGTGAGAATCCAATCACCTTCAATTAAAGTAGATGCAAAAATGATTTGCAAAAATGTAAGTCAGTGCCACTGTTTTCACTAATTAGTTTTGCCTTGGAAAATATATTTCATATAAATATGTTTGAGTTTATTCAATAAATTAATAAACATTTTAAAATTTTCTCAGCTTCTTTACTAGATGGGAAATACAGAGGTAGCCCACATAAATGAAAGGTGTAGGAGAGCCCTGGAATTGATAGAGTTTAAAAAGGTCCTAAAACCAAGAAACCTAGTGATTGTGGCACAGACCCCACATCTGCCTGCCTGCACCCAGAGCCGTCCAGCCCACAGGAGCACATTACAGCCAGGGACTTTCACAGAACACCTGCTCCCCACCTGCCCTTCCTGGAGGTAGCAGCATCTATGCTGGGCCTGGGAAGGTGGGGCCGCGTGTGTCCTGTGTACCTTCTGCCTTTGGAGGCTGGCTGGGTGCTGAGGCTGAGCAGGGCTGGCTCTGGCGTGGAGCAGTGTCCCTCTGGGGCACTGTGTTTTTAATGAAAGTTGACCTGTAAATCGATGACACTTCCTCTGGACCACACAATTCCATGGAGACCAGCAATTGTCAAGCTTCTGGGTCAGGACTTGTGATCAGAGGAGGTAAAGGACAGCAAGTGCTTGGAGCAGAGCCCCTCATTCTGCTTCCCAGGGGAGGGAGGGGTTCCTGCAGTCCTGCAAGCTGCTTTCCTCCAGGGGTGCTGGCCACTCTGCTCCTCCGTGGAGTTAATCACTGACAGAGCCAGTGAGAAAAGAGAGAGACCTGCTGAGGCCATTTGTCACAGAGTCTCAGAGCAGCCATCAGCTTATGGAGGGCACTGGGCACACGCTCCGCAGCACGGCCTCAAATCTATTTCTCTGCACTTGGAAAGTTCTGTTTCTAGGGGAACTCGGCCCACAAGGCCAAAAGCAAGAGAGGAGTGCAGATGAGAAGGGGCATCCCTTTCTCTGTTTTGGTGTGGTAGGAGAGGGGCAGGGTAAGCTCATCGGGCACAGCGGTAACTGCCCTTGCAAACATTTGCTTCTGAGTGAGCCCCTAAACCCTACTCCAGATTTCTTCATTTGTTAAGAAAACATGGATAACTAGTGTCAGCTCTTATTTACTTGGCACCCGTGTCCCGTTCTCTTGGGTTTTGGTTGTTCTTAGTGAAAGTCTCACCCATATTTTAAATAATTGTTTGTGAAATTTTTATTTTACCATGTCAGTGTGTTTTAAGAGTGCTGGGTAAATTAGAAAATTTGATTCTTTAGTAACATAGAGACAAGGGCCAGGGATTTAGCTCAGTGGTGCAGTGCCTGCCTGAGTTTGATTCCTGATATGGAAAAACAAACAAACAACAACAAAAACAAGGAACACAGAGACAATGTCAACCACCAATACTTGCTGAATAGGAATTTAGGCAGTGTAGGCTTTTCAGAAACTGGCTGTCCATTGCAGGATTGTTCTGGCTACTCTTTCTGTAGTTGCTTTTAATGTATTAAGTAATATTTGACCCCTGTATCTAAAACATGATTGAGAAATATAAAAAAAGAAAGCCAAGGTAACTGTTTCCCATGTAGTCACAGGAGACAGACATGAAAGCATCAGCGGAAACAGCCCTTGAAAGTGCCCATAACTAACGACCCCAGTGACAAGGCCAGCCCCCCCGGCCTCAGCACACCTCCCGGAGACTCTAATCCTTCGGCTACGTCTGGTTGTCAGGCCAGGGTTCTTTGCACCCGCAGAACACAAGGATCGTGTTGTGTTCATCGCAGTGCCTCCGACGTCTCCATCCTAGTAGCAGGTACGAGGAGTGAGTAGTCGTGGCAGCCATCAAGGCCAGCGGCTTGCTGGCACACGGAGCACCAGGCACTGGCTGAGCGTCACAGCACGCGCTCCTCCGCGGTTTCAGCATCTAGCGCTCACAACAAACCCAGGACACAGGCGCTGTTGTGATTCCTGTTCTTGCCTCAGAGCACAGTGAAATAAAGGTGCACGGACATAAACAGGAGGGCGGGCAGAGACTCCAGCCCCATATAGTCAGGCACTGTAGCCCAGTCCGCAATTTCTATGTCATACTTTGTATTTTGGTCATAGCTGTCAAGTGCTGCATGACTGGCTGCGTGAGTAATGCCTCAATGTCTTGTACATGTCATTGGAGTCTTACATAAATTATACTCTGTCTTCCTCATTTACCACACACACTGGCCAGCCCCTCAGTGGATGGTGTGGTCACAAAACATTTTTTTCTCTTGAAAAAGAAGTAGTTGGAGGTTTTTGTCTTTAATTATGTTGAGTTGGACAGTTTTTTGAAAAATCTCTGCATTTTTAGAAACATGGATCCGCAGTTTTGAGAGAATATGGATTTTTAAATAAAATTCACGATATTTGCCAAATACAACCCTCACCTTCTTATTCAATGTTGCTGACTAATGTGGAATCAAACCAACGGCTGCCTTCTGGGTCAGATCTTAGCCCCGCTCACTGCGTAGCACTTGGTGTGAGCATCTAGCGGATCTGTGGTCACAGACCGAGGAGGCAACGCCTGAGACCCTGCGCTCTGCCTTCCCTTCGGGCCTGTCAGGTTGGAAGCTCAGCAGGAGTGACTTCTGATAAAGGCTTCAAAGCGCTTGTCTTCAAAGCGTCTTCACTTGATTAGCCAAGAGGTTAGCCAAGAGGCCGAGAAGCAACACCTCAGAGTGTCTTAAGGAAATTTCTGTGCTTTTCTTTTACCTGACCATCACAGCAGCACTAAGGAATGAAATTGTCTACAGGTGGATAATTCTTAGAACTGTGGTTAACTAGATTTTAACTTCTATAATGTTAAAAATTGATATGACAGTCCCTCATACATTGAACTATGTACCAGAAAGTTAATTCAGAATTATTAAAATGTACTAATGTGAACCATTTTTGTTTGGTTAGCCTTTAGTTGTTTTAGCTTTTTACTTTTATTAATACCAGTATACAGTCCACAATGTATAATGCATGCACTTTTGGTGGGGGGTTGGTCTGTGCATATAGCACTTCTTAATTCTCTGCCTCCTTCCCCTCCCTCTATCTCCAGTCCCCTCCCATTTACAAAAGCTCTGTCTCCATTTCCCCTTACATCTCTTGGGTTTTGCTCCTTGAATTATTTACACTTTGGATTTTGCATATAAGAGTATCATGCAGTATTAGAGCTGGTGTGTCTGGTTTACTTCACTGAATGGTACAGTCTCCAGGTGCATCCATTTTCCTACAGATGACTCAAGCGTATCCTCCTTTCAGCTTAATCTTTAAATGAATTGAGGCAAAAGGCAATAAAAAGGTAGCTCATCAGGTTGGGGCTGTCGAGATCTGTGTGCACACTGCAGCATGCCGGAGCTGTGCCCAGTGGCCCTGGGCTCGCATGCGTCTCAGAGGGATCAGCTCAGAGGTGAAGAGTGTGTACCCAGAATGCAGCGCACATCTGGTGAGGGCAGAAATGAGACTTCGAGCACAGCAAGGTCAGGGCAAAGCCCTCACTTAATCTGTATAGGCCTTCCCTTCCCACATGCCTTGAAAACCTTCCAAAATCAGCCTTACAATGTAGGTCAGAGAAGATAGGTCTCTTTGCAAATGCAGTTCTCAAACACACCCCTGGGCACCCCACACCCTGCAAGAATGTTCAGTGCCGCCTTTCCCGCATGACCCTACCACTGAAGCAGATGTTTTCAGACCCTTTCTGGAGGTGGCGCTCAGTCCACCCAGCTGTCCCAGTTTAGCACACATCTGCTTGTCATTCAGGCAGCATTTGTAGTGCTGGAGCTTCAGGCCTGCTGTAAGTAAATGCCCAGTAAAGTCACCCTACTGTGCCACTACCAATACTCAGTTTGGTGATTTTCACAGACTCTATCCTACCTGTTTTTTGTTCTCTTATAAGGAAAGATTCAAAGAAGCTGAAGAAATATACCAGGCTGGAATAAAGAACTGTCCAGACAGCTCGGACTTACACAACAACTATGGTGTTTTCTTAGTTGATTCTGGTGAGTGCAAAGAGCAGCTGTTGTGGAGATGAGGCGCTGCGGTCCATGGCGCACAGTGACGGTTACCCTAATAGCCCCAGGAGCCCAACACACGCTAGCTAACTCGCTCCCTCAGTGGGCAGCAAAGCCCGCTGCCGGGGTCGCCTGGCTACACGGGCTGTCATCTGCCCAAGTCTTCAAGCTCAGCTCAGTAAAATCTTCCCCTGTCTTATGATCAAGTCTTGAGGACACAGTGTGAGTGATGGCACTGTGCCTCGGAGTGTCACTTACAAAAGCTGCTTAGTCCTGATGATGAGATGCTCCGCTACGCACAGCAGCAGCTTCTGGGGAACCCAGCAGATGGCCAGTACTGCACTGCAACTGAGAAAAGAAGTTTCTGGAATCATTTGCTTGTTCCTTTTTTATACACATTACAGAATCAGCATTATAATTGACACAGTGTTCTCCTGTGACAGGTGCTATGTGAAATATACTTTCTCCATCTTACTTAATGCAAAGTATTAGGCAGGGACTGCAGTTGTGCTTTGTGCAGAGCTCCTACCATGGGCATGTAATGAATATTACAAGGAATGAAATGGTATTTGAATTTAATGTAAAACATCGCTTTGTTCTTGTTGACTACTAGACTAGCTGCCCTGCAGTAAAATTCCATTTTAATTATTTTTTCAATATGAAATGCTTGAAAGGGTCCTTTGCACTGATCTGGAAATGTAACCTCATTTTTTGCATGTAAAATTGTTGCGTGGCACCACCTGCTGGTTCATCAGTCACACGCTAATAAATTGTCATAAAGATACGAAGGCTGAAAGAGTCCTCTCAGCCTGGCCTATAGCTTAGTCCTTCACTTCAGCAGCATACAGTTAGACCCCATCACCCTCATCCTTATAGGACAGTGACCACACCTGGCCACACTAGGACGTGATGTCTTGGTTTTTATAGCCATACTGAGTTCATACCCAGTGCACTTGGGAGGCTTCTGCAGATGTCGAAGGTCCCATCCTGCTGAGAAGCGCAGGCTCCTCAAGCTCAGCCCTGGGAATGCCCTGGGGAGCAGAGGCTGCATACTCACTGTGGCCTCTGCCATACTCCCTGCGGTGGTTGACAGGACTCTTCGGGTCTTTGTAGTTTATGCCCATATCTGTAACATAGTAGTTTCATTTTTGATTGTTTTAAATATTCCTTAAGTTTCAAGAGGCAGCTAAATAGCATCAGAAGTATCCAAAATGCCTACATAGATCATGAAGATAAAAACATTCAGAAATATATAAGTACTGGATATGCACAAGAGGGATCGTTGTTATTTATAGTCACAAGACAAATGTGGTTTAAATAAAAAGTGCAACTCCAAAGGAGATTTCAGGCTGGAACACCCAGCTCGCAGTGCTCTGTAGTGCCCAAGAGCCACCCGGCCCTTCCTCCTGCAGCTCCACCAGAGGGCAGTGAGTGGCTGCGGCACAGCGAGTGAACATCGCTGCGCATTCAGACATCACGGCCGCAAGGGCGATGGCCAGAAAACACTGTGGAAAAAAAAAAAGTAGAAGAAACAGGCCTCAATTTTTACTGCTTTTTAGTAATTAATTTATTGGGGAAATGAAGGCAAGAACAGCCCAAAGTTAAAGCAAGAATGAGAAGCAAGAGCTGGCTACATTACAAGGGGATGGTTTGTGGTGGATGATGACACCTACAAGGGGCTCTCCGCTCTTCTCTGCCCACTGTCACATCTGCAGGCTCCCCGGAGAAGGCAGTGACCCATTACCAGCAGGCCGTCACCCTGAGCCCTGGCCACCATGTGGCCATGGTGAACCTGGGCAGACTCTACAGGTCCCTGGGCAAGAACAGTATGGCTGAGGAGTGGTACAAACGGTACAGTTCCTTACCTCACTTTGTGTTTGTCTTTTTGTTTTTGTTTTTGAGACAGGGTCTCACTGTGTGGTACAGGCTGGGCTTGCAACCACTATGTAGCCCAGGCTGACCTTGAACTCCTGGTAATCCTCCTGCCTCAGCCTCCTGAGTGCTGGGATTGCAGGTGTGCACCACTGTGCCTGGTTCATTTCTTCACTTTCTAAGTTGCCTAGAGACCTCAGAAGATGCTACTAACTTTCTATCAGAAGAAACAAGATCTCAGAATATGTTATTAGCGGGCCGGGGGAATAGCTCAGGAGCACAGTACCTGCCTGGCAAGTGCAAGGTCCCGAGTTCAACTGTTGTTACCAAAAAAAAAAAAAAAAAAAAAAAAAGTTGGAATAACAGATTGCAGTATTAGCAAACTCTGCGTGTTGGGGTATACAGATCCCCATTTCAAGAGAACGGTCAGTGCTGTAATGGGGTCCTGGCCAGCGACTTTCCCTCGGTTGACCACAGTTCTAAAGCAGAGTCAGAATTGTATTTCCACTTGAGTTAATCCATCATTTCCTAAAGCTGTGGGCTGCAACCCAAACCTCAAATAGCAGATTCAGAGTGGAGGCAAGACTCACAGCACAACAGGAGTAGGCTGCCCACTGACCTTGAGCAGGGCCAGGGACTCTGTACCATCAGCACAGTCCTGTTTATCCTCAGAGCCAGATAAGCTTAGACCTTTGGAAATATGCTGTTTAAAAGTATCAGCTTGCCTTTGTCCAAACTCAGAGCCCTGCAGGTGGCCCGCAAAGCTGAGACCCTGTCACCCTTGGGAGCACTCTACTACAACACTGGCCGCTACGAGGAGGCGCTGCAGGTGTACCGTGAGGCCGCGGCACTCCAGCCATCACAGCGGGAGCAGCACTTGGCGCTGGTGAGTGGGGGCGGGGACCACAGGCAGCCAGGCTGCAGGCACCGAGACCCTGGCTGCCAGATCTACCGTACGATACTCGCCGGGGTTACAGCCATCCGCCAAAGACACAAATGCCAAAACTCCTTAGAGCTTTGTTTCAAAATAATTTTGGGCTTAGGAAAAGTGGCACGGCTGGGTGCATGTAGCTCTGTGCAGAGCGTTTGACTGGCACTAGCATGATCAAGGCCCTGGCGCTGCTCCCAGCTCTGCACAATGAAACAAAAAGTTGCAAAGGTAGGAAAATACTCAGTACCCTTTCATTCTGCTCTGTCAACTTGATTTATTTATTTATTTATTTATTTATTGCTGTACTGGGGACGGAACTCAGGACCTTGCTTTTGCCAGGCAGGTGCTTATTCTACTGAGCTGTCTCCCCGCCCCCCTCCTCTGTCAGCTTTTAACATGTTGACAAGCTCTCTTTTTGTGTCTGAGTGTATGTACGCACACACGCGTGTTCAGATGCACAGGTGTTCAGCGCGTCTCACAGATGTCCCTTGGTGCTAAGTTGTCCACCTACTGTGGTCTGAGCACACACGCATGTCTTCTTAAACCTGTGAGTCCAGTTGATCGCACACCTTTCTTACCTCAGGGCTTATGCACACAGTTCCTAAGTACGAGGGCTGCAGAGCCTTTAGCAAACAGCATCAGAGTGAGTGGCAACACTGTTTTCATTTCAACGTTAAGAACTTCTTTTTCTTAGATGTCCAGTACATCAAAGTTGTTGTCTTCTGCCAATAATTGTGTTCTTTTAAAATCATACAAGAGTGTTTGTCTGTGGATATGGTGTGAGCACCTCTTCAGAAGGCCCAGCCGTCTCCCCAGCCGTCTCCCTTCCCATCCATATACAGATGGCTGAACACCCCTTAGTAAATGCATGAGGGACACAGGAGTCACCCTCCCAGTTGGCCACCTGCCTTCCCCAGGGCACAGGGACACTGAGGCAGTGGACAGGACTGTCTTTGCAGAGCCTCTACTGAGCGTGCTTTTTTTCTTTTTAAACAAGGTCTCACAATGCAGCTCAGATTCATAGTGATCCTCCTGTCTCAGCCCTCCAGTGCTGGGATTACCAGCGTGCACCACCACACCTGGTCCTGGGACAGGCATAGTGTGCCCAGGGTTCCAGGGCCAGTCTGGCTGTGGTACTGGGGATCGAACTGAGGACCTTGTGCTTGCCAGGCAGGCACTTATGCCACTGAGCTATCTCCCCACCCCTGCTAGGGGTGCTTTGCGAGACACATCTGTAAAGCACCTTCTCAGCTAGGCCCATGTATTTTTGTAGGCGCAGGTTTTGGCAGTGATGGGTCAGACGAAAGAAGCTGAGAAGATGACTGAGCACATTGTTTCAGAGGAGGCGGGGTGCCTGGAGTGCTACCGCCTCTTGTCTGCCATCTACAGCAAGCAGGAGGCCCACGACAAGGTAGGAAGAGGTGGGCACCTGTGGTTCCTGCTTGGGCGCTCCACAGCTGGGAAGTCGAGATTCTCAGCCTCGCAGGAGCATCTCACAGATGTCCCTTGATGCCAAGTTGTCCCTGTGAAGTGTATATGCTTTGGCTTCTCCCTGGTCTAGAGATGTGATATAATTTTATCTGTTTGATTTTAGCCAATTCTAGAAAGACTGGCTTTCTTGTGTTTTTTGCATTTTCTATGTTTCTTCTTTCATGTAACCCTCCTAACAGCCCTGTAAGGCAGGCTACTATGGCTGTTGTTATTGCTTATCTCCACTTTAAAAGTCATATAACCAGTGAAGTCAGGAGCCAGCTCAACAGCGTATCTGTGGAATGCCTGCCATGCACTAGAAGCTAGGATAACGTGGTCTGCCAAACAAAGAATCTCTGCGCTTATCCTTCTGCTGCTTAGAGGAGCAGGAGACTGAACACACAGTTACACACACACACACACACGCGCACGCGCGCACGCGCGCACGCACACACTCACGCACAGTCGTAGCTGTGCTTGGTGATAGCATGAAGAGGTGTAATCAGGGACCAAGCCAGTGTGGAAGGCCAGATCTCCCTGTGAAATGATGTGGAGGAAGGCTGGATCATTAACGGGACTAATCAGGCAGACTCGATGGGAAAGAACGTTCTGGACAAGAAACCGCCCACGCAGAGGTTGTGTGGCAGCAACAAGGGGCTGTCCGAGGGATAGGTGTGAGAGAGCAGGGCCGCAGTGTGAGACGCAGACCCGGGTGCTGGGACCCACCGTTTTGTTCTCTATCCTGGAGGTTTGGGGTTTTACCCAGCAGCAGCATGGTCAAGTATATGCTTGGAAAGTCTGCTTTACCACAAAGGAGCAGTGGGCGCAGAGGGAACCAGGGGCCTGCACGGGGCTGAGAGGAATGAGGGCCAGTGGTCAGGGCACATCGACTCCACCCCACCATCTCCCTGAAAAGGGATTGGGGAACTTTTGTTATTTCTGGGTTTGTTTGGGTTTCTCATCACTGATGTATTAGTGACTTGAATATAAGTAAATTATTTTGTTTAGGTCATTAATTCTTGAGAAAATGAGAGAATGAAGAATGTATTTCGGTTGTGGTACACCAGCTAACACGGATGCAGCCACTGCCCACATGCTGGGAGCCTGTGTTTATTGACTTTATTTCGTCCCTCTTCAGGCACTTGATGCTATAGACAAGGCCCTCCAGCTGAAACCAAAGGACCCCAAAGTCGCATCTGAACTGTTTTTCACAAAAGGCAATCAACTGAGGGAGCAGAACCTTCTTGAGAAAGCTTTTGAGGTAAAAATACAGAAAACTTGTTACTTAATTTACAGATTACAACACATTATTCCATGCTTTGTAATGAAACCTAAATAGCAAAATCTAGTGTCACTGACATGATTGCAGGGTGAATTTTCGGATTAACTAACATAGTGTTACCCATTGATTTTCATATTTGAGGCTATGATTTGTGATTACTCAGAGTTATGAAATGCATCCTTTTCTTCAATTATTAACTTTAACTTGATTGTCCATACATTCACATTTTGGCCTCACAACACACTGTCTGCCTATCTGTCCTTCTCTATTGGACTGTGAGAAGCATCTGTTATAGCTGCGCTGGTGTGCAGATAGCTGTGGTGACAACGAGTCCTCACCGCCGCACCCCACTGCCCCACTCGCTGTGTCCCCTGCACACAGCCCGTGCTCCCCAGCACCCCCACTCCAGGGACCTGGCTTCCTCCAACTCAGAAAGCTGTCTCCTCCAGGTGCCAGTTACTGGAAAGGGACAGATAACACATATGGTCGGGTGCGCCTGTCACCCGCTGTGTGTTCATGCGTGTGTGTGTGTGTGTGTGTGTGTGTGTGTGATTAGATATTCTTCTTTGGAATGAATAAAATATGTTGCATTTTAAAAGTTGAGGCTGGGGAGATAGCTCAGTGGTCTAAGCACCTGGTGATTTGCACGAGGACCCGGGTCTGATGATCAGGGCCGCCTGGAGTACCAGACCTGCCCTGGAGGCCCCCCACCAGCCAGGCTTAGTGGCACATGCCTGTAATCCAAGTACTGGGGAGGCTGAGACAGGACAGTCACTATGAGCCTGAGCTGCATACCTCATATGCCTTAAATTTGAATACATAAATTTTAGAAGTTCAAAATCAAGAAGATACATAAAATCATAACTAGTGTTACAGAAACACTACATGTTAATGATAGTGATATTTACTTTAGTGAGTTTATAAAACCACCAGTGGGAACTAATGAAGTTATCAAATTGCCCTGAGTTATGAGAGGGCCTGGATTTTATTCCCAAAACTGAAAAAAAAAAAAAAAGATGTTTTATGTAAATATAGAGATAGAGATAATTATATTCATGTAAGTCTATAATGACATACTTATATTTGTATAAATATGTAAAGCATATGTAAAGTGATTTGGAGAAGCTAATGTGAATGTGAACCCCTAAAAGAGCAACAGAAATTGTGGCATTTTTGTCTGAGACATTGTGTGCTTTTCTTTTAGAAATTGTGCAATTTTCTTTGCCTTTTGAATGCTTTTAATAGCTTTATTCCTAAGGTATTTATAGTTAAGGTATCAACTTAATTATTAATAATTTATAAAAATTCTCTCTTCTGCATCTCTCTGTATCTTGATACATGGTGCTGAAAGAAAAGCGTGTTGTAGTTTCTACTCCAGTGGGTCGGATGGACTTCATAGAGCAGCGAGGCTCAGCAGGGAGCAGCAGGGGCCATGGCCAGTGCACACCAGCTCTCCACGTGGAACTCACATGTACGAAGCAACTTAATCTTTGCAGAGTGCATATGAGGGAGGCCTGGTCGCTGTAGTCACTGCACTACCGCAAGCTGAGATGCGGAGGTCCTTTGAGAGAGATGTGGCTCAAAGTCCCCCCGTGTGAGAGGAGCCAGGCTCAAATCAGCTTTTCTTTCCTATACTCAAGTCTCTGCTGATCTAAATAAACTAAGAGACATACTTTGAAGTTTAATTGTTTCTCCTAAACCAGAGGGATTGGGCTACCTATTATTTGGTGGATTTGTTTGGTTACGTTTTCACTAATAAAAATAGCAGAAAACAGTAAAATATATGCAGAGATTCCTAACTTCGGAGGGCTTTGCGTAAGCAGAGCCATCTCTCTCTAAGTAGGACCACATGGTAAGCTAAGCTCTGATGCAGCTCACAGAATTAAAGGTCTACGTCACAGACACTACATACAGTAGGGTACATGGTATTCAAACAAAGGAAAGTGCTGGAGGGATTGATAACACCACTGGAACATTTGAAGACTTCATGTAGCAGAAGAAGAATGACCTTCTAGTGATTAAAAGTGTCCCCTGGGGTGGCAGACCAGTGGAGCGTCTTGTTTTTGTAGTGGAGGCCAGGACTGAGTGGCCAGGTCAGTGATACTGTCGAAGGAGCTGCTACATCGAAGTTAATCTGGATGCAGATTACTCTAGATTCTGATTTTGCTTTTGCTTTTGCTTTTGCTTTTTCCTTAGTGCTAGTGATCAAATGCAGTCTTACAAATGCTGAGCAAGCGTCCCACCACTAAGCTGTATTCCCAACCCCCAGATTCTGTGATTTCAAGCAGACTTTTTCTCCTTCCCAAGTCCATTTATGTGAAGAAGGGCAAAGAGTGCAGTTCTCTTGCAGGTCAGGGCCAGCAGGAAATGGTGCATTATTATAGACATCTCCTGGATTCCTGCAGGCAGCCTCAGATGGCATGGGTCCACAGATCAGCTCTGCGGAGAAATTGCACATTTCAGTTTCTTCCACTTTAAAATCATTGACTTTGAAAAATAACAGAAATAAGCCGGGCCTCCCACAAGCTGGACATTGACTGGCTCTGAAGTATTAACCACTTCAGTGCCAGAGAGTGCAGAATACGGAAAGGGCTTCTCTTTTCCTAACCGGAGGTCTTTCTTACTCATGCAGAGCTACAGAGCTGCCGTGGCCCTGAACCCGGAGCAGGCACAGGCCTGGATGAACATGGGAGGGATCCAGCACATCAAGGTAGGAGGCCGTCCTCCTTTCTGAGAAAGGACTAAGGGGCCCTGTTCATTTCCTCTTCAGATCACTTGAACCTTGAAAATGTAGGAATGTAGGCGCTCAAAAGTGAAGCTAGTGGAGCTGGTGTTCATTTTGTATTATATA